TGAACTCATTACTGACTTTAAATAAAGAAACTTCGGAATAAAGAGATTGGGTTAGTAAAAGTTCAGTGGCGTTATCATAAAGGACCAGACGCCACCTGGGAATCAGAGTCTGAAATGTGAAAAAAATATTCCTACTTTTTTACTTAATGGAATTCCGGGACGGAATTCTTTTAAGGAGGGAATGTTGTAATATTCGGTGAAATGAATTAACTAATTAGTTAGTTAATTTTAGAATAATAGGATTTTTTATCTTTTAAATTCTTTTGTATGGAGGAATAAGTGTGTATTTGCTATTTAAATATAATTTTGATAAGGGGGAAGAGAGAGAGAGAGATAGAGAAAGAGGTCGGGTGCATTACATCATTCCATAAAGATTTCCAATTACTATATATAGTAAATGGGGTTTAAAGGGAAAAGGTTTTCTGGGACACTCTTTTGAAAAGGGAAGTCTTCTTATTTTCTCATCCACATCGGCTGAAGAGGAAGAGAATTCAAAACTAGGATATTCGGTTTTAGGGTGAGTGTATTGATTATTGTTATACCTATGTGTATGATTATGGTTTTAGAATTTGGATTATTTATGAACTGCATAACATGTTAGTTGGATTCATCCTAAACCGGGTGAAGATTCGTCCGGTGTATCCCCTAAACCGTTCAAGTGTTGTCCGGATATCCCCTAAATCGCTCATAGTGTTACCCAGATTAGAGCTAAACCGCTCAAAGTGTTACCCGAATTGGAGCTAAACCGCTCAAGTGTCACCCGGGTTAGAGCTAAACCGCTCAAGGTGTTACCCGGGTTAGAGCTAAACCGCTCCAGGTGTCGCCCGGATTCGATCTAACCCGCTCAAAGGCAATCGGTTTATTGCTAAATCGCTCAAGCATTATCCAGATTCTCCTCTAAATTGGTTACAAGTGTTAATCGGATTTCATATCTGGCTGGGTTGTCCGGATTTCATATTCGGACAAGGTTGACCGGATTTTCATATCCGGACAAGGTTGACCGGATATCATGTCTGGTTGATGTAGACTAGATTCTGTTATTGGATTTGGCATGATTTGAATATCATACAGAAAGAGGTAATGACGGTGTAACCGCGAGAAAGAGGTAATGACGGTGTAACCGCGAGAAAGATGTAATGGCGGTGTAACCGCGAGAGAGAAATGTATAATGGCGGTGTAACCGCGACCGCGAGAAAAGATATAATGGCGGTGTAACCGCGATAGATTGTAAGAGATAACAAATATAATATATATAATTGCACTGGCCTATTATGAAGTTTGGAATTTGGAATATAAATTGTTGTATGAATATAGTACACTCACTAGACCAATTGGGTCTAACGTACATTTGTTAAACTAATTTGTTTTGCAGGTCATCTGTCATCTTAAGATAAAGGAAAGGGAAAAGTTTGAAACCAGGATATTTAGATGTGTATTTTGTATTAGACAAAGTTTTTGTTAACCCATATTTTTGTAAACAATATAACGTTTGGGTATCAGATCTGATTATTGTATATTACATGTTGGTGCAAATTGTGGGTTGTTACAATAAACATCTCATTTTAAAATATAAAAAATCTAAAATATAATTAGAATAATTATCAAGTTCTAACAAAATAATTAATTATTAT